TCGGAGGATATTTCTGATCATTGTCCTGTTAAAATTGATAAAAGCCTGCGAAATATATCCTCAGAAATTGCCAAATTCTTTGAAAATGCTCATTTGTTGTCACCTTTCATTTTACCATCGATTTTACCACAGTTCTTACTCCCTAAAGCGTAACACGGCCCTACATCATTAAATGTACACATATAAACCTAATAGTTTAAATATTTTGGGACGTTAGGCGTATCCCTGATGCAGGTGCACAGCACTTGAACCAATATTCCGACTTAAAACGTTTAATTTTATCCTCAGAGTTAAAAAATTTAGGGCCGTGCCCTAATTAATAGTAAATTTTGGTGGAATAATGTGGTCGTGTATGAAGAACTTGTAAATTCCCGGTTCAAATAATACCAATCCAATGTTTTTTCTTAGTAAAAATGCGTTTCTGACTAAACATTTTTCTGGATGTCAAAGCAGGCTTCCTCCTCTTTATCTTTGTGCTGCAAAAACTTGTTCCCATGTCTTACATAATGTCCAGTCACTTACTTTGTGGTGATAAAACAGTAATTTTTGATTTGGAACCTAAGTTTATTGGCATTTAGATACCCTCCAATATGCCTAGCCTGGCAAATTGCAATTTTTTGTGGCCTCTTGATCTTGCAGACTGAGGTCCGCCCTTTTATCGCTTGTTTAGATAACCATAAAACGGAAATTTGGCCGATATGATTTCTTTCTTTACAGCGTGGCCTTTCTGACCGTTTTGCAAAAACTTTAAATTCGTTTTGCTAGGTATGTGCACTTAATGCACTCACAGCGAAAATTCCACGCGCCTTGATTACAAAATTGCAGGAAATGAGCCAGAACTCCTCTTTGAATTATAAAATTCAGCAATAACTAAGAGGGTGCAAAACTGGAACAATCCAGTTCATTTTTGTTTGGTCATTTTTTTCTAGTTTCCATTTGCGAATCTTAAAATTTTTATGGTCAAACGTTTAGTTAAACATCGGTAAGGCGAAATGCAAGTTGGAATTACCCTAAGTAAATAAACTGAAGAAGTACATTACCACAAACTTAACTTTCCGTTCTATTGTTCCAGTTTTGCTCTTCAGTGTATGTATACACGCAACATAGTTTTGTATCGATTCGAACAATTTGATACAATGAAGCACTTGTACCTCACACGAATCATGCATGCATGTACGTACATACACACGCAACACACTTTAGTATCAATACGAAAAACAGTTTCGTTACCGCACAATATGTTGTGTTGTATTGATTCACGATGATGGTGCATATACGGAACATGCGAGTAACGAGATTATTATGTGAGTAACGATTCGGTACTTCGAGTCAGGGGTTGTATTCGTTACTCAGTAACGAATACATACGGTTTGCTACAGCTCTATTACATGGTACATCGGACCAATGCTAAAGTTGCAGGATCATAGAAGAATATTACGCACGCTTGGCAGAGATCTCAGGCAGAGAGAGGCGGAAACAAGACCATAGGTAAAACGCATTACATCGAAAGGGATTAGTATTCCATATGGAATCACAGCGCTACTATTCTTGGCATATGTGTGGGGAGGATTCCGCTTTTTAGTCGTTTCAATTTAACCTAAAAATGTTTACTATACAGACTGCTTTTGCTTTTAAACGCTATTTTTAAATTGGCCAACGCAAAAGATTTTATTAGGCGCCGCGAAGCAAGCGGGCATTTGCTAGTAAATAATTAGCATAAAGAACAGCTAAGCAATTATGCGCAGTTGATATTATCAGTGATGGTAGATATAATTAAATGCTATCAGTGATGTCGCATAATGTAAAAGGTAGTACCACTGAATTTCGGTACTTAATATGTAGATACAATTAGTTATCTATAACTAAACATACTAAGCCCGTTGAAAGACTAAGGCTTTCAAGATATTATCATCAATTGGAAGAAGGCACAGCTTTGCAACCGCTCGTCTGTATCCGCCATTTGATGTCTTCAGAACTGCAACTCACACCACCTGATCGTTTCCATAAATAGTTTCTATGACCCTTGTCAGAGGCCTCTTTAACGGGGGATTGTTCTCATCTTTGATCAAAACCACGTCTCCAGGCTTCAGATTCGACGAATATGAGTGCCACTTCTGGCGCTGCTACAGAAGTGTCAAATATTCGTATAGTACACGCGCTGTCATCTGCTAAGACGATGTGTAGGATGCGCCAATAAGAAAGTGCCCTGGGGTCAATACCTCTAAATCGTCAGGGTTCTCTGTAATAGGACATAAAGGCCTTGAATTTATAATTGCAGACATTTGGCATACAAGTGTGCGAAACCCATCAAATTTTAATGTAGAAAGGCCAATAACTCGATAAAAATGATGAATGGCAATTTTTACTGCGGCTTCCCATAATTCAATTCCATCGCTGGCACACTGCCCATGAATAGCCTTTGAATGTTCTTGGCTCAAAAATAGTTCTCTCAACTCCGATAGCTCATTTTTGGCTCTAACAAAATTGGTGGCGTTGTCCGACCATATGGTTTGCGGTCTACCACGCGTACTAATAAATCTCTTTAGGACTGCAAGGAATGAAGAGGTTGCCAAATCCTTGACCAGCTCCAAACGAACGGCCTTGGTTGCAAAGCTAATATATATGCAAATGTAGCATATAACTGGTGCTCGCTTTCGTAGGTCGGATTTGTAGAAAAATGGTCCACAAAAGTCCACTCCAGTAATTAGGAATGCTCGATTGCATCTAACCCTTTTGGAGGGTAAGTTTCCCATTATATGTTCCATAAGCTTAGGGTTGACATGAAAACAACGAACGCATTTGTTAATAACTCTACTTACGGTTTTACGACCGCGAATAGGCCAATACTGAAGACGAATAGATGCTAACAACGATTCTGGTCCAGCGTGTAAAAGTTTTCTATGAAAGCTGCTGATGATCGACTCAGTCACCGGTGACGTTTTGGCAAAATAATTGGCTGTTTTGATGAAAAATCCAAATTTCAATGCTGAAGTCTTCCGCTGACTCGGATCAATCCACGCTCGTCTAGGAAGGGGTTCAGTGAACGAATTTCAGATTAAGTCTTTATCGCCTCCTTAGCTTCTAGCGCTTTGTATTCATCTCGAAGATGCGCCCTCTGAATCATTCGAATAAGTAGAGAAGTGCTTTCCTGTAATTCAATTGCGTTGAGTAGTCCCGAAAGCCTCATTCCAAGTGGTCGGGAGAAACGATAAATGTATGCATATACTCTCTATAATCGATCAAATGAGTTAGCAAATTTGCAATTTAAAGAAATGTCAGATGTAGTAATAAATACAAATGCACGCTTTCGTTACTCGGGTAAGTCCTTTATTGGTAAGAGAGGAAATTTTGACCAATTGTTCTGATCGCCACCAAGAAAAGATGGTCCGTTTTTCCACAAAGACATGTTTAAAAGATCTTTCTGACTAGCGCCTCTTGAAAGAATGTCTGATGGGTTGGAATCGGTTGGGACATAGCCCCAAGTCATACCTTTGGTTAGGGTCTGAATTGCATTAATTCGATTTGCGACAAAACCGTTGAAGTTGGCTGGTTCATTACGTAGCCATGATAGCACTATTGTGGAGTCTGAACAACAAAATACCTTTTTTCCTTTGGAATCCGTAGCACTTACCACTATTGCGATTAACTCGGCTAAAAGTAATGCTCCAGAAAGCTCAAGATTCAGTACCGTGAGCATTTTAAGTGGAACTACACGAGATTTGGAGCAAAGAAGATTGGTTAGGAAGTGTCCGTCTCTTTCAGCACGTATGTATATGCGGGCACCATAAGCAGCAATACTCGCATCGCAAAACCCATGTATTTGTAGGTTCGTCTCGGGCAGTAGCAAGTAACGGTCGAAACTAAAACGAGTAACTAGCTTGTATTGATTGCATATTTCCAGCCATTCTTCTTGTACTGCTTGAGGTGGGCTTTCGTCCCAATGTAACTTCTCCTTCCACAAATGCTGCAAGAATATTTTGGCTTTGGCCACCACAGGTCCGATCAAACCAAGCGGGTCGTAAGGCCTAGCTATAGCTGAAAGGATTGTGCGCTTAGTTACCTTGGTAGGTGTTGCTTAAGGAGAAATTGAAAATATGAATACATCTAAATTTGGGTCCCAAACCAATCCAAGTGTCTTTGTTATGCTTGCACTATCATCGAAGGCTAGAAAGTCCTGTCTGTCATTACCACCTATATCAGCCAAAACGCGACCATCATTGGAGCACCATTTCCTCAAGTGAAAGTTTCCAATAGTTAACAATTTCTTTGTCTGGTTTAGCACGACTTTAGCTTCGTCCGCAGAGTCTGGACCGAAAATCATGTCATCCACATAAAATCCATGGTGTATCGTCTCGGCTCCAACGGTATAGACGAGAGCTCCGTCAAGGTCAAGCTGCTGCATTGATCGAATGACTAGAAAAGAAGCTGGCTTTGTTCCGTAGGTGCCAGTATCTAATTTAAAAATGCAGAAATCTTCATCTTNCTTTGTTCCGTAGGTGCCAGTATCTAATTTAAAAATGCAGAAATCTTCATTAGGATTATCTCTCCATATTATACACTGAAGGAAGTTGTCTGGATGAGACATTCTTACGCAGCGGTACATTTTAGCAATGTCTGCAGTAAGAGCAATTTTAAACCTGCGAAATATAAGCAAAATATCAAAAAGAGGAGGTTGAATAGTTGGTCCTTTCATCAGGATCGAATTCAGCGAACGTCCATTGCTGGTTGCCGCAGAGCCATCAAAAACCACACGCAGTTTTGTTGTGGTGCTATCAGCTTTTAACACATAGTGATGTGGCAAAAAGTTCACTGGAATCTGCTTTGGTATAGTGTCAACGACTGACATATGATTACAAACGACGAATATTGTTGTTTTAGTTCAGCATTGCGCTGCAATTTCCGCTATAAAGCTTTGAACCGATTGATGGCCTTCTGATACGATTCTCCTAGATCGCAATGAGTCGCTTTTGCTGACAATCGAACCGAAAACTCACCAGATTCTAATCTCTTATGGGTTTTGATGAAATGTTCTTCGCACACAAGTCTTCTTCTACAGTAGTCTTTGGTGCGGAGTCACTGCATTTCTCGATGGCCCAAAAGCGCTGAACCAGGTTGTTTAACTCGACATCTGTGTCATTTGCTAGAATCATGTCGATGGCTGCTAAGCAAGATAGTTTCGGAACATTGTATTTAGTTGCGCCTGATACAACCCAGCCTAACCTTGTTTTTTGTAAAAGTTGCAAATTTTCAGTCAAGCGAATCTGACCGACGCAGAGCAGGTCGAAAAATAAACTAGATCCAATGAGCATATCAATGCGCTGAGGTTCAAAGAATTGTGGATCCGCTAAGCGTATGTTTGATGGTATGTTCCAATTAACACCTTTTATAGAGCGAGTTGGTTGAACATCGGTAATGGTGGATGTTGCAACCGCAGATAATTTGGCAGTGTAATCATTAATGCGCGAATGCAGGTCTAAATCAACGATATGATTAGCAACGAACTCATTTTGGCGTATACCAGAAATGAACTGCGAAGACTTGATCTTCTTCAATTGTAGCTGGTTAACGAGTCGATTGGTTATGAAATTTAATTGTGACGCAGAATCTAGCAAAGTTCTGCAGGGAATGAGAGAGCCAGATCGATTTTTTACGTAAATGATGGCGGTTGCTAAGAAAATGATATCTCTGTCAGCAACGCTAGCTTGAACTTCAGAACTGACAAATGCAGAAGCTGAAGGACCGAAAGATGAAGACGAAAGCAAGTACGGGTTGGTAGAAGTAGGTGTTGTTGTTGATTGCGCTTGTGAAGCCGACTTAGGAGAAGCCAATGCTTGTGACGAAGTCGAAAATGAATTAGTTACCTGAAGAAGCGGACTGTGATGCTTCGAAGTGCAATATCTACAGAGACCGGACTTGCAGTCCTTACGTGAATGACTGTATCGAAGGCAATTCAAACATAAGTGCAATCTCTTTGCTTCTTTGTAGCGCGCTGTAGGTGAAAGGCATAGAAACTGTTCGCACTTTGCGATTAGACTAGAACTGCACAATATGCATGCAGCTATCGCTGACGTTAACAAAACTTTGCGACTGTTATTGTTATTGGACGATTTCTTTCCTACCTGTTTTTCCGGCGGTGCAAGAGCATTCTCCACATTTTCCAGTCGCTGGCAGCGTTGTTCCAAAATTATAGCCATTGAAGTTCAAACCAACCTGCCCCTCACTGTCCTAAATAAAATCCCCAAGATTCAATACTGATTCTGCCTACTGGAGCTTATACCAATCGGTCTGTGAGGAGAAATTCAAGAACTGGAACACACTCAATGTTCATCAGCTTACAGCTTATATAACTAAATCCATCAGGTCTGCCGCTAATACTGCCATTCCACAACGTAACACCACATCAATCAAAGTATATTCCGCACGGTGGAATAAAGACTTGAGCGGCCTCAGAACAAAAAGGCAAACGCTCTGGCATTCCTATAAATCTTCACCATCTACTGATGCTTCAGTAGCCTACAAAAAAGTTAACGCTTTATTTAAAAGGTCCGTTAATGAAGCAAAAAGGTAGGCAATCGCTAATTTCACTTCGGACATTAAGTCCTCTTCGGCCCTCAAGAAGATCGGGGCCAAATCTGGGAGGTATCCCTCCCCCTCCCATAAAGTTGATTCAACTAGCTAACCGCTCCATCTCCACTGCACCAGAAATAGCCCATGCCTTCGAAACTATGTGGTCTAAATATGCAGATAGTGCGAATTTCCCATTAGAATACACCAATCAGAAATGCTTAATTTTATCGTAGCCGTATAATCCCGCAAACATTTCCAAAGATGCCGCCATCAAGTTGATTTTAGCTTCGTCGAATACGCCAAAGGCAAAGCGCCGGGTAAAGACCGCATATCCTACCCCATGCTAAGAAATCTCCCTCGTTCCTCAAGCTCAAAGCTCTTTGCTAAACTTATATAACCAAATACTCAAACAGGCACATACCCTCACTCTTGGCTCTCCTCTATCACACTCCAATTCAATTCCAAAACCAAATAAACCCCTCGAAAACATAAACAGCTACAGACCAATCTCGCTCATTTCCAGCTTAAGTAAAACACTTAAAAAAATGCTCACCAAACGGCTTATGTGGTACACTTCATATAAGAACCTCATTAGTTGCAATCAAGTTGCTTTTAAAAAGAAACACGGAACTTTAGATGCACTACTTGCCCTTCAGCATTTCATCAGCGATGCCCTCTCAAGCAAAAAACATGTTACCATCCTCTCCATTGACTTTGAGAAGGCCTTCGACCGCGTAGGTGCCCACGTAATTCTTGAGCAACTTTCGTCATGGGGTATCGGACCAAAGATATATAAACTCGTTAAGTCATTCCTAACTGGCCGTAAATTCTAAACTCAAGTCAGCGGAGTATCATCCACCCCCTTTTCGCTTGAAAACGGGCTCCCCCAAGGCTGACCCCTCTCGGTTGTACTTTTTTGATAGCTTTCCAGCAACTCAACAAAATAGCACTCAAGTACAAAACAATAGACTTCAGGATCTATGCAGACGATGTCATCTTCTATACGAAAGTAAAGGAAACGGCTTCAGTCCAAGGTATTAATTCTTGGGGTCAATACTCCGGTATACTACTAACACATAGCAAGTGCAAAGTATTGCATATATTCCAGAAGCAAAACTGCCGTCCNCACATAGCAAGTGCAAAGTATTGCATATATTCCAGAAGCAAAACTGCCGTAACATAAATCTAAATATAAACAACACATGCATAGAAAATGTTGCATCTCACAAACTTCTAGGCATAATATTTCATAACAAATATTCATTCCAATACCACTGTTCTACTCTAAGAAAAAACCTTTCCATAGGGCTCAACATAATCAAATACTTAGCATCAGCGCATTTGCCATTCACCCAAATACCCTTGTCAACATCACTAGATCCTTAATATTGTCTAAAATAGACTATGGCTGGTGTGCCAATATTCATTTGAATCTCCTCAAAGCCCCCTATCATTCAGCTATCCGGCATAGCCTTAACGCCTTCCCAACATCACCCATCAAGTGCATCTTATCCGAAGCAGGTCTCCCATCCATTACAGAAAGACGACACTTTTAAACTAATTCCCAAGCTAATAAACAGTTCTAACAAACTCCTTTTCAACACTTTCAAAACGGTTTCCCGCAACAAACGCTCTTTCAAAGTATTATCAGCCGTCCGTCGTAGCGCACGCAATTGCAGCGAACTTGGTATTCCAGTACCAACAGCCTTCTATAGAGGCAACCGTCAAAGTTCATGGTATTTGAAAATGTCCTCAATAAACACTGATCTACATCCACTGGCCAAAAATTCTACAAACGAAGATGTTTTTAAACAACACTACCTGGAACTAATCAACTCCGGAAACCTAACTGGTTGGGGGCACATTTTTACAGACGACTCAAAAACCGATAACAGCAATACCTTTGCCGTTGTTCAAAACGAGGGAAAGCTTATATCTTTCGATTAGTTGCCCTCTACTAGTTGCAATTTTTCAGCCGAAGCATTAGCAATTTTAAAAGCTGTTAATTACGCAAGAACCAAAAAAGGCAAGTTCGTCATTTGTACAGACAGCTTATCTATCTGTGATGCTTTAAAGAATATCTACAACGACGACCAAACCGTGTGCCAAATCAGAGACCATTTTATTAGACAACCAAACAAACTTAAAGTTATGTGGGTTCCCAGCCAAAAAAACATCCAGGGAAATGAATATGCTGATTCTGCAGCTAAAAGTATGTACTACCATCCATCCCTCACTTTCCTTACACACTCCAACAATGACATCCGGAAACTAATAAACAACCATACCGGAACTAATGAACAACCAAGAGAAACGATTGGGCCCAGTTTAACCACCCATATAACTTACTAAATCCTACATGCACTAAATTTTCGATCCCGAACTCCCTCACTAAACATCAAATCAATGTGTCAAGGCCACCCTAAATAATACCTAACAAAATGCATCTCTAATATGACGAACGACACGAAGTAGATAGCGTAATGGAGTCAGTAGAGTCGCGTTCGAAAAGCCGTTCTATGAACTCACTAGAAGCTAAGCAAATAATTTTATAATTTAAATAATCATTTTTCATGATCTTAAACACTATTTTCATTAAATGAAATCCTGAAAATCAAAGTGCTCAGTTTTTATTTATACAAGCGAACAATTCGTACAAGCCATTCAGCGATCCTTTCTGACAACTTCAGAAGTAAGGATTAGAATCCGCCTACAAAAGTGAATGAGAACGTTAAAATAGTGAGCATACTTGCAAATTAACACGATCGTTTGAAAACAAATGTAAAAAAATATTCCGAAATACACGGAAAAAGTGAAGTTACAGTCGGACATAACCTAACAAAAGTTGAGACTCCCATGAACGTGTGCATGTGAGACTCCTGTGGACATACGTTTTGCCATTGAAGTTTTGTAGTTTTGTCGCCGTTGAAACTTTCCGTTGAGTTTTGAATTTGTAGCTAGCTAACGAAATAGCAACGAATAAGCTACGAAGTTCTACGAACGTTTGTATTCTTGATGTAATCGCGAATATATACATTTCGGTTACACTTGTTTGTGTTAATTCAATGTGCAAAGAAGAATTCTGATACTCTGTATATTTCGGTTGCACTTGTTTGTGTTAATTCAATGTGCAAAGAAGAATTCTGATACTCTGTATATTTCGGTTGCACTTGTTTGTGTCATTTTTGTGTGCAAAGGAAAGTCTGTTACGAAATAACGATATCTATCTCTGTTTTGCATCTATGAATATATGTTTGAAACAAAATTTTGAAATAAAGAAGAGTACGACTTGGAGTGTTTGTTTCAAATAACTATGGCTATATCTGTCGCGTAATAACTGAGAGGACGGTTGAATCTAATTAGAATCCTCAAAAGAAGACAATAATCAAAACAAAAAACGTGAAAATGTCTTTACGAAATAAAAACGTTCAAGAGTTGAGAAATAAGTGCAAAGAGTTTGGTTTGCCAACATCGGGTCGTAAAAATCAATTGATTGATCGCTTAGAGGAGCATATGAATGCTGACGGGAGTGATTGTGACAAAGAATCGACAATAGTGCAAAATAATTTGTCAGTAGTACAACGAGTTGCAAGTTTAGAAAAAACAATCGCTGAAATACATAAGCAAATATGTACGCCTCGTCAGGCGGTTGTTACGTCCTCTAATTTCGAGCCGATATTATCATCGTCACCAGTCATGTACACGACTGCATCAAATTATTTGCCACAAACGCAGCGTGCCATTCCTTCGCAGTGGGAATCGGCGAACCGTCGATTTTATGTACCGAATGTAGCATCAAATCAAAATGTGCACCAACGTTATGCATTACATTCGAATATGCAAATGCCTTGTAGTAGTGCACCAAATGGTGTCCCACAACCTTGTGCACCACATGTGTCTAATTTTCAAAATGTGTTACAGTCTAACAATTCGTCTTCTTTTAATAATATTCGCGACATAATCGAGCTTTTGCCGGATTTTGATCCAAATTCGGATAAATCGTTAAACTCTCAGCAATTTATTAAACGTGTATAGCTACTCAAAAATAAATATCAGTGGAGTGAAAGTGTATTGCTTTTTGCATTGCAACAGAAAATGCGTGGCTCAGCGAAGCTGTGGATTGACTCTCAGCAATGTGTCTTCGTCTCGTGGCCACAGTTCATAAATAGTTTTTTAATAGATTTCCCTTGCATAGAAAACGAAGCCGATATACATTTGAAAATGGCTCAATGTAAACGCCTTAACGCGGAAATGCCGGTTGAGTACTATTACCGAATGTTAGCATTAGGTACGAAGGGTGGACTACCGGAGCCCAGTATTGTGCGCCATATCGTTAATGGCATAAACGACATAGATTTAAAGAGGAAAATTTCCAACGAATACGTGCGATGTCAAGACTTACTGCGAGATATAGTAAGCTACAGTGTATACAATGAACCAAAGCCCATACTACAAAAACCTAAATATGCTGTGCAACCGTCGCAGAATGTGAGAGCGAATAATGCGTCACAAGCAAGCGAGAAACAAATGTCGCGTAATAAGATACCCATAGAGAACGTAAAGTGCTTTAACTGCTCCAGATTAGGGCATTATTCCGTCAATTGCCCTGAACCGCAAAAAAACACGG